GCAATGCTGTTAATCTTGCACAAATTTTGAAACTTGCGTGAAATTTATTCCCCACCATTGTCTGACCTGAGTGTAAGTCCAGTTACATGACATGGTTGGACCACCGTATTAGGAAAAAGTTGAAGTGTTGCAAACGAATCGCCTTTAGAGGTCATAAAATATACCCTTGCATATCTTGAAAAATCATCAATAGAGGATATTGCCTAATTGTTTCCATGCAATGATTCCCGAAAAGGTCCACAAACGTCACTGTGAACTAATTAAAATTTTTGGGTTGCCCTAACTTGGGGGTTTTTAGATATGCCAGACGTAGATATTTTACATTCTGAACATGTAGTGCACTTATCGGTTGCCAATGAACCGGAAATAACCATGCTTTTTATTGTTTGATTTGCAGTTTTCTTCAATGTTTCACAATTTGCATAATAAAAACTTTCATGCCTTTTAGCAAAGGACAATGCCGACATATTTGGCGCTTTTGCACTATGTTTAAACCAAAAAAGACCATCTCTTTCAATAAAATAGGCTTTCTGTTGTCCCACACGTATATGCGGACTTTTGTTAAAATCACTGTGTTTCCTTGCCCAACTAGCAGTGAAACTAATATCAAATGAATTTTGAAGCTCGGCACATACAATGCACGCTGGAGGTTAAAAGTCTACTTAGCTTTATTACGATCGTAGAATGGGAGTCAAAATTCTCCAACACCATGTACTCGCTGTTGCGTTCCATCCCCATTAGTAATAAACATCGCACTTTGATTGAACATTGATTTCTCTGGAATGATATAGTTCGTGCATCCACAGTCTATCACAATATCCATCGACCCATTCGATGTTGCAGTTAGTGCAAACCCAGAGAAACCGCCTTGACGGTTGCTCGAAGTTTGCTTGTTTAAATTTTACTTTGCATAGCACCTGTCAGCAGTGTGATTGTTACGTCCACACTTTGTGTAGCACAAAATTTTCTTGTTTCCTTGTCCAGTTCCTCCATTGTATCGTACTCGGCCAGTTCTATGAATAGCTGGAGCCGCAATGAACTCGAATCATGTTTGTTTGAGCTCCCCCAAGTGATCGTTCAATCAGTCGCTCTTTCAGTTTCAGATACGATACCTACTGGAAATGTATTGCAGCTGTGAACGAGTCGTATTCTTGTGGCAATGCTTTAAGAACTATGGCTATTTTCAGGTTGCCGCTGATCTTTTTATCTGCAGATTGTAAGTTGAACACAATGTTGTCCATTTTGTTCAGAAATTCTATCATCGATTCACCGTTCTTCTTGACTTCCAGACACTTTTGCCAAAACAAAATGATTTGGCTTGTTCGAATCTGCCCAAACGTTTTTTTCAATCATTTCCATATTTCGAATCCATTCCTGTTATTCTGAGCAATGATCATCTGCAAAGTAGCATCAGCATCGTTGAGGTGCATAATGATTTCCTGATACAGCTTCCTCTGAATAGCATCTCTGTTGGCTTCGCTAATTTTTTCAGATTTTACATTTGGCTTTTCATCTTCAATATAGGCTAGCAACCGTTCACACATTACAGGAAAATTTTCGTGTTTCCCATCCCAGTTTATTTTGTTCGGAATCCATCAAGATTTTGGTGCTTGGAAGCTTCAATTGCCCATAACCTCTTACAATAACGTCTGGATCTTTAAAAATAAAAAAAATTTCCTATCATTTATTTTCATTAAAGTGGTTTAGGTCAAAATCAACAACTTTTGTTTAACCGCATGGTTTTTGATGTCAATTTAAAAAACTAAAAGTCATGAGTCAATATTGTTTCACTCCTTTCTCGAAAAAAAGCAATTACAATTTCGATTAGAATTTGTTGGTTCTAAACAACCATGTCTGAAAATTGAATAATCACAGACGAGTATTTGAACAGAAACATAGATATAATGAAATAATTCCACACGTTAAATTTCTTATACTTGAATTTATTAAGTACAATTTATTTCCGACTAGACCCAAAACAGCGGTTGTTACCCCAAAATCTAAAAAATGACCCCGAAATAGCAGAAAACTATAGACCAATCTCTATAACAGGTGAACTCTCTAAAATTTTTGAGAAACTAATATACAAACAAATCAATGAACACTTCTTAGCTAAAAATCTCCTCAGCAACACCCAATTTGGTTTCAAAACCTCATATTCAACGATATACGCCATCCTTTATTGTGCTGAGTTCTTCCGCTTTTCAATGGAGGAAAACAAATGCGTTACCGTATCATTATTAGAAGTATCAAAATCTTTCGATTCTATCATCCACAATTATTTGAAAATTTTTTTGATTGATTTGGGATCTATTAGTCAGTAACTGAAATGATTCATAGCTTCATAAACAAAAGACAACAGAAAACTGTAGTAAAAAATACTGAACCCAATTAGATCTGACTTCACCAAAAAAGTACAATTTTGGGACCCCTAATTTTGAACCTATACATAAGTGACTTGAACAAAATTTTAACCGAAACTTGCAAAACTGTTTAATATTCAGATGATAAACCTCTTTTTTCTGGTGATAATGGCAACAAAAAAGCTCTACAGATATTGTTAGAATCCTGTCAGAAATTGTCGCTGTACTTCACAAAACACAATTTAAATTTCAACATAAAGGAAACTGAGTTGGTAATATATAGCGAAAAATTTCAAGGCAGAAACCACAAATCAAACTTGAGTATAATCTTAGATGATAAAAAAGTGGAAGAAAAGCCACAAGTTAAGTATTTGGAGGTACGTCTTGATTATTTTCTGAATTTTCAAATAGAAGTTAAAAACATGTTAAGAAAAATGGCTTGCGAGATCAAAACATTGCAATTGATAAAAAAAACCACTGACAATCAAAAATCGGTTACTTTTAATGAACGCTTTAGTCATAAGTATTCTGCTCTACCCAGCATTACTAATAAGTAGTTTATCATCCAATCTAATAATCTCGCGTGAGGAACAACTGAGTTGGGCAATAAAGACCTGCAGCGAAAGAAGAAAATTTGATTCTTCATCCGATCTTAAGCTGGAATACAAGATAATTCCGGTTTCCTTCTTTCTCGATTGGAATTTAATTTGACATCAATGGAAAATCAAACATAAACTACTACTGGCATACACAAAAATGAAGTACGTAAACAACACAATTGATTAGAACAAAAGAACTAAAAAACTACATTTTCAAGCAAGATTCAGCAGTCATTATATCGGAAACGTTTTTTTTTAATTCAGAAAATCAGTTTTTTTTTGGAACCAAAATGAAAATGCAAATTCAAATATATAAAGCGGCAATTTAATTTACATGACTATGAAATTTAAGTTTAAGGAACATTTTCTATCCATTTGTCGCGAGGATCCTTCTATCGCAACTTATGGAAAACCAACATGGAAACAGTTTATTTTGAGAATGCGTTAAAATTGTAAATTCAAACAAACGTTTTCGCACATTTTGTGCATCTTCAGGTTTTAAAAATTCTCAACTATCTGTACAAAATGAGCAAAGATCATAAAAAGTGTCACACACACCATTGCTTCAAAATTTTAAAAATTCAACCAATCAAAACTTTACAAAAATCACTGAAATTATGTAACAACTATTATGTAACAATTCAAAACATTTTGTCACAAATTTCTGAGAGTTTTCATCCTTTTTGCTTTCACAATTTCGTTTTGTCGCTAATTTTATGCTAACATGTAAGTTGTTTCAAGTTTTTGTTGTTTTAGCCAGAATTTTTCGATTCTGGAACAATAGCCTTAGTGTCAGCTCCCTACTTCTAAACTCGTCGCGCGTGTTGATTGCCGGTCTCTCTTTCCTAATGTGCAGCGCCTCTAATGTAAGTAACTTGATGTTGCTGGACGTCTGGTTGATTATTTTCCAATTAAACTCAGACTTACCACGCTCACTACCACACTGCCTTATATGCTGTCCAACTGAGGTATCCTCTTTTCGGTGTTCCTCAATCCTTGTGGTGAGATGTTGAACCGTCTGGCCAACATAGATGGATTTGCACCCACAACATTCAAGTCTGTACACCACTTTTGATTTCAGTTCACTGGAAAAGGAGGACTTTAGAGAGGGCATACAAGTTTTCATTTTCTTCGTCGTGAATATTATCAGCGCATTGGTGATATCGCGCACTTTTTTTTGCTAATGTTTGACTGTGATTCCCCCTATATTGGACCATCAAGATGGGTGGTGAATCACTGCTGTAATCAAAGGGCTTCTTTTTCTCAGCCATGTTCCTTTTGTTTTTGCCCTCGCTGATGATCTTTTCAAGGGCATGGGATGCAACCCGCGAAGACCAACTTTCCATATATTGGTTATCCAACCACTGCTCACGGTTGATTTTCATAGCTTTATCATATCCTTCCCATGTTGACGTACTGCGGAAAACCCGGTGAACAGTTCCTTCAATCACACTTCTCTTGTACTGAAGGGGGGCGCAGCTTCTAAAATTGAGTATGGTACCTGTATCTGTTGGTTTTTGATACCACCCACAGCTAATTTTCCTGCTTTTGTCAATACTAATTTGTAAATCAAAAAATGCCAAAGTTCCGTTTGTGTTTGGTGTCTCTATTGTGAACTGTAAATTTGGATGTAGTAAGTTTGCAGCCCGTAGCTTTTTTTCAGGATCACCCTTCACTGTTCTCACTATATCATCAACGTAACGGAGAAACAATTTAGATTGTTGCCCTGACTTATTTTTCTCCCTTATTGCGATGCATTTTCTGCAGTACCAGACGGTTTCACTTATATTTCGATACTCATCATCTGATATATCACCACATTTTACGTGATACCAGTTCAAACAGCATTCACATTCTACACCTTTTGACCTGTACGTGATTTTCTTATTCCACTCGGGACATATTCCGTGAAGATCTTTCTCGGGCAAAACTTTTCGGGAATATCCCTTGATAGTGCAGTTTCGTACTGCTTCAGCCAAAAATTTGCTAAAATAACGGCAAGAGATGCCCCCATTGCCAAACCATCTTTCTGAACGTATCATGTTTCATTGCACATGAAATGGTTTTGACTAACTGCCATGTTCAACAGTCTCTTCATGGTTTTCCTAGCAATTGATGGTGGTTCAACTTGCTCATACAATTTTCTCAGAGCTATGTCTATCGCTTCTTTCAGTGGAACTTTTGTGTACAAACTCTTCACATCTAGAGATATCAAGTTTTCATTGGGCTCAAGATTAGTGCTCTCTAAGATTTCTCTCGCATCTAGTGAGTTGGTTTCAATTTTTGCGCCCTCAATTTTCTCGAAAAATTTAGCAAGAACCTTGTTCAAGTTATAATAAGAGCTACCAGGCAAGGAGACGACCGGTCTTAATGGGGTATTCACTTTATGCACTTTCGTCAACCCATAAAGCCTGGCGGGCTGCCCCCCAGTAGACCTCATCCTTGTGTAGAGACTCTCACTTATTTCATCTTTTTTCCTCATAGCCAACAACTTCTTATTGATTTCTCTTTCAATCTTCAAAACAATCGCATCACTTGTTCCTTTACTTTTGCTGAATTGATTTGAATCTAATGTATCCGACAACCTGTTCTCGTAGGTGTCCTTTCTCATTACACAAAAACCCACGCCTTTGTCATACGGTACCGCAACTAATCCATTACTCTTCAGATACTTTCGGGCCTTCTCAACGCCTTTGTCAGATGGTGTTTGTTTCACCTTTTAGCATAGGCTTCTGCCACAGCTTCGATCTCACAAAGGCCCCCCCCCCGGGGACTTTACGATTTTTGAGATCCGATAGAAAGATGTCAATGTCGGCGAGAAAGTGTGTCTCATTAAATTTATCCCTGACGGGATGCTTTGGCCTTAATGCCAACACTTGTTGTACCCAATTTGGTAATTCAACATCATCAAGAGCTCTTACCGAACCCTCACCTTGCTTCCCTAGAGGTCGGTCTTGCCTTTCTGATAGTTTCATTAGCTTCTTCTGATGGGTCTCTTTGACTGTTGTTGTTTGTCTTTGTCCCCTAAGACTTAAATATTTAATTACCGAAGGCCAAAACTTCTCATCTACACCCCTCTGTACTGCGCCTCTCGCCCTTTCTAGTTTGACTTCAACGTTTTTCTCATCTGCCCTTGCCTTGTTTATCTCCGTTCTTAGAAGTTTTGTCTGAAAACTGTGTACTGCTTGGTTCGAAAACACCCCATTTTCCGGTACCCTGAACCTCAAAAATCAGGTATAATGTCGTTTTCTAGACAAACTCTCAAAAATTTAACACGTTGGTGACAGTTGATAAATTTAACATATATGGACGCATAATCACGGACTAATTTCCAAATGAGTTTGTTTTTCAAAGTCCAAATGAAGAATGGAGGTGGGAGTACAATTGTGCTCATTGGTTTGCAGGCCACGAGGAATAAACCTCACGTGACACAAAGCAACTCAAATAACACAAGTTTAACTCAACCTCTCCGTTGAAGCCTCCTCGTCAGTCCGACCAACAGTTGCTTCGCCTATGTTCACCAGTCTTCTTTTCTCCGCCCTACTTCTCGATTGAGATTTCTTTTTCGTGTTTGAACGAAGCTTGGACAAGACAGCTGGCAGGTTGTCTTGGTGTTCGAACACAATCCTCAAAGACTTTAGCTCCAGCTGGACGTCCTGGTGCAGTGCTTGATATTCGTTGACCAGCTCCGTTCTTCTCTTCCTCTTTGAAATGAGACACTTTGTAATAGGAATGACAAGAATACCCGAGCTGATCAGCTGGTTCCTGATATCCGGTGTACCGTTTCTCTGACAGTATACAATTGCGCTGATATTTGTCAGTGTCTTCAGGATTTCTGTCAATTCCTCTGCAGTGCAAGCTCTGTAATTGTTTGTGCGGTGGCTGTTGATAGAATTATTGATGATTTCGTGCCACACCACCACTTGACGTTTTTCTGCTAGAGGTGCCCTGCAGAGTAGGCTTGCGAGGTTCTTCTGTGGGTTCGTGGTGTTCGGGTTTAAAGAAAGTCCCGGAATAGCCAAAAATTGTGGGTAGAAATTGTTCTTTTTCCGGGTTGCTAAGTTGTTCCAGGCTGTGGTAGAGTGAGCTAGCTGCTACAATGTAGACCATTTCAATTCTAACATGGTAAAATATAAAAAAAATTTTCAACTAAAAAGATTTCTCCACTAAAACAAGGGAAAAATAAATTTAAAATTACGTATCCTTGAAAGGACAGACTGTAATTGAGAATTGGCTCAACGCCGTAAGGTTTCAAAATTTTACATCTAACGCACATTTTGTGCATCTTCAGGTTTTAAAAATTCTAAACTATCTGTACAAAATGATCAAAGATCATAAAAAGTGTCACACACATCATTACTTCAAAATTTTAAAAATTCAACCAATCAAAACCTTACAAATATCACTGAAATTATGTAGCAACTATTATGTAACATTTTGAAACATTTTGTCACAAATTTCTGAGAAATTTCTTCACTTTTATTTTCACATTTTCGTTTTGTGGCTAATTTTTATGCTAACATGTAAGTTGTTTCAAAATTTTGTTGTTTTAGCCAGAATTTTTCGATTCTGGAACTATAGCCTTCTTTTTTGATGTGATGGCTGAATTTTAGATCGAAATGCAGGGTAACAACAAGATCTTTAACCTTGTCGTCAGGAATGAGGGGAAAATTGTTAAAAAACAAACATTCCTTGACCCGAGTTCTGCCAAAAATCACAAACTTGGTTTTTTTTTCGTTGAACACCATCTCATTCTCGGAGCACCACAAAATACAGCTATCGAGGTCATTTTGTAGTAGCTACAAGGACGTCGATGCTGCTTTCGAATCATCGGCAAATAAGCTTTCGGAGCAGAATGTGGCGAGGAACCTTGTCAAAGACCTTGCTAATGTCAAGATAAAGTGCATACACGTTTTCGTTTTCATCAAGTTTCCGTGAAACGTAGTCGAGCTAGGTTATCAATTGAGTGACTGTTGAGTGGCGACGACGGAAGCCGAACTGATTTTGGTGAATCTTACGTCCGATGAAGTCATGCAGATGTCTGAAGAGAAGCATCTCAAATACCAGCAATAATTTAGGTAGAATACTTATTGGTCGATATGAGGAGACGGAAGTACGGTCACCGTGTTTGAAGACAGATGAAACGTAGGAAAGTTTTTAGTTGCTAGGATAAACACAAGATGACAAAATAGAACTGAACGGTAGAGATACATGAATAGATAACGGGGCTGTTGCATGCCGCAAGAAAGAGCCCGGAAGTTTGTAAACGCCAGAGCCAAGTGACGCATTTGCGAGACCATTTTCAATCTCCTGTCTACCGAAAGAAACGTGTTTCAATTCATTGTCGTAGAAATCAATTGTGGATGTGATATTAGGTTGGTATACTGTACCGAAGTAGTCATTAAAAGCCTCCGCGATTTCAGTATCTTTGTATACTGGCGTGCCTTGACTAAGCACGAATCCAGGAATGTCTCCCGTGTTGTTGAGCAGTTTGATCATCTTGAAACAGCCTTGTAGACCAGTGCAGGTAAAATTATTGATAAAAAGAAACGTATCGAGCTCAATAAATTGGTCACAGTCGCTTTCAAGCTGCGTCACAGACTCACTATGTGCCTTTCGAGCCGTATATAACTTGTTGAGATAATGGACAGTAATGGATGAGTAGTATGAAGGATAAGTTAGGCGTTTAGAACGTTTCCTCTTGAATAAGGGGAGGAGTACTTGATTAAACTCGGTATACAGAGGATCCTCTGTTTTAGTTAACGAAAACAAAGCGGTTGAGAATATCAGCTTGAGATCCGAAAAAGATGAACTAGGGATAGTCATGGTTTCCGTACGCCTGTTTGATTTTAATACTCCATGAAGTTCAAACCTCAACGTTACAGCAAAATGATCAGAAAAATCAACCGTATGAGCGCAGCAATCTGAAGAAGCCACGTCAGCAATATTTGACAAAAATTGGTCAAGGATATTCCCAGAAATTAGTGTAGGGAAGCTAACCAGCGGACACAAGTTCTTTTGAAACAGAAACTCTATACACTCCTGTGTTGCTGTCAAAACCTGTGTTGCTGTCAAAAGTCGTCCAACAGGCGTGAGGTTCGTTAATGTTCCCGCTAACTATGATGTGACACTGGTTTGGTAAACGCTTCGAGATTGAATCCAGGAAGATCAACAAATCGGCGTTTTTATGACGGTATGCACTATTTACCGGAGGATTATAGATACATACAATTGCGAGCAGGACTTGAAAAAGGACAATAGTTGCACAGCCATTGTCGGATGTACCTGAAAGCTCCCGGCTAGCCACGCCGCAGCTGGACAGAATAGCTGTACCGCCGTGAATTCCATGTGATCTATCACGACGAGCTAATACTCGGTAGGATGTAGGATGAACTTTGGGTAAACGAAGAATCCAGCCATGTTTCTGTAAGAGAAACAAACGTGGGTTTTTGTCAGGATAAATACCAAGTTAAACAGAGTCTCTTGTTGAGGGAAAGAATACTTCTGACGTTGATTGTAGCTAGGGTTAGTAAATTTCCGACTTCAAAAATTTTGCCGTCAAGATATAGTTTGAGGTTGCGGATTTTCAAACGTGATTTATCATGACCATTGCTGAGCATTTCGAATCGCTTTCGAAGTAGAGCCTTTTCCACTAATTTATCGTTGTCAGACAATTCTGGAAGAATTAGAATGCCAGAGATTTTGTGGTATCTCTGCTCAGGGGCTCTGCTACGATGTGAAATTTGACCAGAATGGACAAAAATGCAGATTCAAATTCGTAGCAGCTGACCTGGAAGATCAACGGTTTTAACAGATTAGCGACGTTATTTAAACAATTAGACGAATCGTGAAGGTCAGAAGATTCTGGAATTTTTAATTTTTAAAGTTCGAATGATGACGTCACACTTCTGAGAAACGTCGAAAAGGCCATTTTTGGAAAAAAACAAGAAGAAAAACACAACAACAATGGTTGCGATAGAATTAACGACGAGAAAATAACGAGATACAACTGGGGATTATCAGAGACCGCTCCGAGTTGTAACGACTGTGTCGCTACAATCGTTACAGAGCAATTCAAGCAAACGGTGAAGGGTGTTGGGACAGTGTGTGTCCAGCCTTCTCAAAAGGAGATAAGAACGTTATTTCCCCGGATTCCAGAATCCGGAGGTGTCTCGAGACCTGAACTCAAACTATTTTATACAAACTTTTAGCTTCCTGGTTATGTCCTGAATTGAATTTAATTGACATCCAGATTAATTTTCAGATAATGAGAAGATAGAAGTTTATGTTTTTTATCTACTGAACAAAAACAATCGTAATATAATAAATAGTAGTAGCCCTGTTTTTAAGAGTGATTTCGTGGTCTGGGGATACTGAGACCCAGCCATGAGCTCACGATTCTTGCATATATTTAAGTTAATTTGAAGGTTTTGGCCGAAACCGAAAGCAGTAACGTTTTTGTTGACCCAGTGTTAGGAAAACCACCAAAAAAACTGGCTTTGGCAGAGACGGTGAAAAGCATGTAGAGCTGTGTTTAGACGCTAGACATTCGTTTTTGAACCTGGCTTTATTTTCCGTCGATATATACTTCGGGTGAATAGTACAGTCCCA